GTCTTTCTCTTTTTTTTATCCTTTTTTTTCTTTCTTTTGTTTTATTTGGTTTTCGCTTAGGTTTTGTAGATTTTCCATTTTTTGTTTTATTTCTTTTTTTTAGTTTTAGTTTTTTTTAGTATACTTGTTGTTCTTGAGACAAGAATTATAGAATCCTCTTGCTTAGATATTAAGAAGGAGAAGGTCTTAAAGAAATTAGCAATCATGACGGACGGCCGATTCCAGTTGATGATGTACCTATCTACTTTGGTTCAGGAGGGATAGATGTGTAGACAAAATCGGCTATAACAGGTTGAACATAGGTGTCTAGTAGATAACTGGGTTAGTCAAAACTTGTAATTTAGATGCTAAAGCTAGTGTTTTGGTGAAAAGTTTGCATGCGATAGAGCCAATTGCAATAAATCTAATAAAAGTTTTGTCATAACTGCCGAATTTTAAAAATAAATAAATAAATAAATATAAACTACATGCAAAAATAAAAGCTCAAACTAATTATTTATCTATAATCTAAACCTATTAGAGTAGCCAAGATTTAAAAACTTTATACAAATCTAAATGAGTTCTGGATAAATATAAAGCTTTATAGAAGTTCTATAAGATATATAAGAAGTAAATTATTTGTAATATAATAATTTTAGTATATATAGTATTAATATAATAAATAAATTTGTAGTTAAGAGAGGTGTGGTGACTTAGTGTAGTGGTCTAGATGTTACCCTCTCCAAGTGGCAGGTTTAGAGTTTAAATCTCACTAGTGATGATATTTGAAAAATAGCCTGTGCTACAGTTTACAGTTGTCAATTATCGGTTGAATCTAAAATTAAATCTGTAATCTTGGTTATTCCATCTAGTTACAGAAGCTTTGGCGCAATAAATCTGAGAAACTAGAATAACTGAAAACCCATTTGGCAAGTTCTAAATTTGAAGGTAATAGTAATCTTTGATGATACCACAAGAGGGCTAAATTCAAACTGGGGCCCAAGATTGGAGAACTGAGTGACCAGGTTCACTAGCAAAGAACACACTACATACCAGAGAAAAAGAGCATATACTCTAAAAGTATGAACCAAGGGAGAGCATCCTTTAGGCACCTAAAGCCTGGGCAGACTGACCCTTTCGGGTTGCAGCTGGAAGTAAGAGATGATTTGTTATCTAAAACTGTTCACTTGCTTGCTGTTTGCTGTGGAATTATTATTTGGCCAGAAGTTGCTTGTTTGCTTGGTTTGGAAGCTGCTTGTTTGCCATGGATTTTGATTTTGTTTCACCAGGGACCCAGTTTGCCGCAAGTTATTTTTTAACAACTAGCTTGCTATGAAAGGTTTTTCTTCTATAAGTAGTGTCAAGAAAAAAAAAAAAATTGAAAAAAAACAATTATCTGTATATCGATATTAACTGATTAGATTAATTATTAAGCAGGGCACGGGGGCAATGATTGGCTGCGTTGATTAGATGATCAATTGACATGCATGACCCCTGAACCGTCAATTCAATAGTTGCTTGCTTTAGCGATCCCTTAAAATAGTTAATACCAAAAAGAAAGTTGATAAATTATTGAAGCTTTGATATTAAAAAACAATTAACAAACCAAGAATTTGTAATTTTGTTATTTGGATAAAAAAATTGCTATTATTGTCGGATGTGCCAGTTTCGTTTTTTAATTGACAAAAGATGAATTAGGCTTCATGTTTTATCAGCGTGAAACCTCAATCTATATACATATCATTAATGAAAGAATAATACATAATATTAAAAAAAATTAGCCAAAACAATTGTCCATTCAAAATTAAAACAATGAAAATAAAAACAAATAATGATTAATACTATGACAACCCTTTTAAATAAACCATTGTATTTAATATTTTTCATCGCTTATCCTATATTATCAATTACACCACCTTATAGTATTCATTTTTATGTTTTGCTGATGTCAAAACAGTAAGGTTGCGATCCAAACCTACTAATTTGTGATTAAGTAGAGTCCTAAATAGTATTTATTAGGTTTCACAATTTGTTAATAAGTCGAAGACAAAATGGCTTCCTTTTATGACATGCTCTTTTTTTTTAACTGAACCGATTAGATCATAAACAGGTAATCAGTCTAACCAACCCGGAAAATCGTGGACCAAAATTTTTGATAAAGCCTGGTCGGAAGATTTAGGAATTGTGGTGCGTGTCTGTCAGGAGATTTCGGAATTGGAATAAAATTTTTCACTTGTCCCGGTTACGCAAAAATTGGGTTATTTGATTGGTCAACAGTGCTTTTCTGACGAAAAATAACCCAAATATTTAAATTTTTTGCCCAAATTTTATCCAAATATTGGTCAATACCCAAATAAATTTTTGCCAAAATTTTCCGGGTCCCTGCCGATCGCCTGACGTAGGATGATATTTATGTAATTGATTAACATTGATCCAAACATGCGCCATGCATGTTATTTTCGGATGATACGCATTATTACGCGAAAATACAGTATTACAGTATTTTATTATTGTCATTTTTCTTGGCTAATTCTCGATTCTTTGGATTGAGCGTTTATATTTGCTGAGTGAAGTTTAAATACTAATTATGTAATTGAGGGAACGATGAATTTTGTTGGAAATTGAAAGATGTAAATTTATAAATTGTTTTTCTTTTATTCGATAGGATTGACTGCTTTATACATAGAGGATAAAATTTAAAACTATAACACTGATTTGATATAATAAGATAAATATAGTAAAAAATAAAGATTGACAATGTTATACCGTTTCAAATAATTAGCCTTTCATAGATTTCTGTTAATAATTGTTAATAATGCATAGCAATAGGATTCCCTTTTTAGTTCAATAATTTTCTGATTATGTTTGAAACTGGGAATTTTGACTGCGTCACGGGTGACTCATTTATCAATTAATATCGACTAAAACTTAGTTGAAATGCAAATTATTTACAATTCAAAGTTTTATTTTGAATATGAAATCTTTCATTTTTGTAATTGTTTTTCACTTATTGTGTACATATTCAATATACTACTATAAACTACTAGACCTAACATACCACTTCCGTTTTCAACATATCCTGTCTATTGCTAAATCACCTAAACCACTCTTAGATTCTTGATTTTCCTAATTTGAAAACGAAAATAGCGAAATTTTAATAATTTATTGATTTGAGTTTGACACTACTGACTAATGCTTTCTTGTTATCTGGTAGGTATGACGTATACACTGACGAAAAGAATTTACATTACTTCCACAGGTTTTTGTGAAAATTTGCGGAAATGATGTAAAGATTTTCCCGTCATTGTTTATATGGTACCTGCCGGATAAGGAATATATTTGGTTTCTGTTAACCAAATTAAGTAAAACCCCGATTCCCAAACCCAAACTATGTTGTAGTGTCATAATTCAAGAAAAAAAAGAAAAATGTTGAGTTGCAACCCTACGAACCATCAATTTCGTAATTCTTATTTTGGTCAATCTTATTATACCATTCCTCTGGTACTATCATTAATTGCCTTCCTATTGTACCAAAACATACACATGATGAATATAGAATACACTAAATAAATAAAAGATAAACAGCAAAGTCAGATCATCAAAGGTAAAAAAAATATTTGAAATAATTATATGAATAAATATTTTTAAAAAATTGACTACATACAGGAATCCAAGATCGCACACCAAAAAAGTCAGCATGTGTAAAACTATAATTCAAAATAATTTAATTATTAAAATCAATAATAATAAAATGATAGATTAAAATACATGAGATCAAAGAAAACTTCCAACATTACTAACCTGTAAGCTCCATTAGTAACTAACACGTACATAATAATCGTCCCTACCGACGAAAATAACGCGCACATGACAAATCCGTGTATCGTTCGGTCAAATAGGAACCATAGTACAATAGATATTAGTG